GTCATTTTAATGAGGAATTTTTGATGTCCTTATAAAGAGGAAACCTCAAATTATATTTGAATATTGAGATTTCCCAGCTAAGAAGAAACAAAACTTTACTAACTCACAGGGAAAATCTCAACAATTTAAGGTGTTTTTCCTCAAAATCAGTTTTTTTGTTGCTACTGCTCAAAAAAGTGCTTTAAACTTTTGTTTTATGATTATTTTTCAGGCAGTTCATTCAAATGATACATTAACAAGGCTTTTATTCATTATATTTTGACAAAATGCAATTTTTGTTAACATTTTAGTCAAAACACTATTTGCCTTTTTCTCCTTATACAACTTTTAGACTTAATCCTCGTTTCCATGTGATGGCTCACATATTTCTGTTATTTATTACAGATTAAGTCAGTCRTACACTTAGTTCTTATCAGTGTTTAAAAGAGGACGTGTTAAAACTCTGTTTAGTCAAAGTTAAACATGAAACAAAGTTCATTACAAGTAACCATAACGCTCATGTGGCCCTCTGTGAAAATGAGTCTGACCCCCCTGATCGACAGTATTTTTACAGTCTTTATTTTACAGTTAAAATAAAAGTGTATCAAATAAAGTCTAATGTTACAACTAATCATGGATGCCTTTAAGGACGGAGAGTGTACCTACATGTAAGGACCAGGCAGTCCTCCCAAAGCCCTGAAACACAGGCAGGTGTCCTCCACGATCACTGGTCCATCCACCTTACAAACAACAACACAACTACAGTTTTACTACACAACTTTACCTCCCTGAGTTTGTTTCATTGTGAGCACATGATGACGTACCTGCCGTGCTGCCTCTAAACACTTCTGTATGGAAATGTCTTCTGGCTCTCCCTGATACTCTGGCACTGAGCACAAAACAAAAACTGTCATTTACTGACACTTTTCCAAACGTGGGGATTCGTAATACTTACAGTCAATCTTTTTGGACACCAGTTTGTAGGGAAACTTGTCTCCGAGTATCTGAATGACCTGACAGGCGTCACCACAAAACAAGAAAAACAAACATTTATTACAAACTAGACATGGGTTTTTACGATGTAAAAACAAGTGTGCATTGCCACGTAGCATGTCATTGCAGCATGGCTTTGCCTGCAGCATTGGACTTACAGAATGAACTTTGACCAAGTTCAAATGTGTTTTCTACACCAGCTTGTGCCTGTCACGTCAGCAGGTGTTTGTAATTAAGGTAATTGTGTGACAATAGGAAGTTTGAAGAGATTTTTTGTTAAAGTTGCATTAGCTGGGTTTTGAACCTTGATCTCCCACATGAAAGACCATGACACAGACCATTAGACCAATGGAGCTGTGGCAGAAGATGGTGGCAGGGGTTGGTTTGTATGTGTGCAGAAAGAGGCCACATTGCCAATACAATTATTGACACAAAAATGCATAATATTACAAAAATCAAGCAGAATTAAGACAATATTATAGTAAAACACCAAAATACAATCATATTAGTACTGTAAACACTGAACTACTGAGTTGAAATATTAAACTATGGTACAGTACCAAGTTGAGTACAGCATGGCGCAGTATTGGACCAATACAAGGCTCAATTGGCTGCCATTATATTGCATTAAACATTAATACTTCATAAACTATAAGTTGTACAGGCACCAAAAGGCATAGCCATCATTTGGCACAGGRGCTTTACAGATATAAATTACAATGGCAGCTCTAGGACAAAGTATGCAGGAGGAGAAGCATGGCAAAGTTGAGATGACTTGGATGGGAAATGAATCACAATAGTGTGCWTTKCATTGGCAATGCACACTGATGAATGAGCCAGTTCAGTTCTTTCAATAACAGGAACAATGAAAAGGCAGGAGGAAGTGAGGGTGGAACGCTTCTAACTGTACAATTGATTGATTGATTGATTGAATATTGTTTATTCAGTCATCAAAATTGTTCAGCAACAAATCAAAACACTACAAAACATTACAAAAATGTGAGCATTTTGACTGAAAAGGTACAGGCAGAAGCACAAGGCTTATATTTATGTCTGTCCTACACATCCAATGAAACTAAACTACCCCTCATAAACACTGCTACAAAAACACACAAAAACAAAGAAAACAAACAATCCTTAACAAAACAAATACAATAACAATTTAAAGTTATTTTCACTTGTAACTCCCAAATATATTTCTTTTTAAAATTGTTTTTAAAACCCTTAATGAACTACATTATCATAAGCCCATGCGTGCATCATTACATATTTTAATTATAACAACAGAAAAAGACCTTTTATGTCTTTTTTAGCTTGTCGTTTTATAAATTTAATAACATGTCGCAGATCATACTGACCTTCATATAATATAAAGAATATTTGCACCCCAACAGGAAACACACCTAACTTTGCTCTAAACATTATTTGCATTATTTTGTAATGAACCAAATCATAGAATTTCATGATAGCAGATGTAATAAACAGAGGATTTGTGTGTTCATAGTAACCAGACTTGTTAATAACACGTATGGCTCATTTTAGTAAAAGTACTATATCATTAATTGTTTTGTATGTGAAACACACACTTCACACAATAAGATATATATAGAAGTATAAGTGAAGAGTAAATAATTTGCAAAGTCTTGTAATTTAATACATTTCTAGACTTATATAT